GGGGGGGGCGTCTCTGAGCCATGATTGCCCAGCCGAAGTATCTCTTTAACTTTCCTGCCAGCTCTAACATCCTATATGAGTCTGTGTTTATAATCCCTGCTTTCAAAGCTTGTAACCTTAGCCAGGCTAAATCTCCCTGTTTGGGAGAGTTATTCCAGGACTGAGACTTGGGGTGCCCAATGCCGAGAGCCCAGCTAGAGATGTGGGCCTTGAGACCTTGTGAATCGTTGAAGCTTAGAGCCCGCTCCACCCGGGTGCTGCTCTCCAAGGTGCTGCTACCTTAGGCGCCGTCTCGTACTTGTCCTGCACATTCACTTCCGAAGACCAGTGGCTTGGGAGGGTGGGTGGTTTATTGTCCCCATTATCTCCTCCAGCCCATCCTCATTGGTCAGTATGGATAATTGACATTTTTCTCAGCCTCAAGTAAATCGCTATGCAAACAGAGCTTCAAGCTCCCCTACTTTCCAACCAGATCACCAGCCCTTGACCCTCCTCTCAAACTTCTGGAGCTGCCTCCCCAGTGACAGAGGGCCAGACTCCATGGGCACCGGGACTTGGGAAGGGGAGAAGAGGAGTGTTCTTTTCTTCACCTCAGTCCTGCTGGGCTAACATTTGTGATTGTCACTAGCGTTCACTCTAATGTATCTCTGGCTCTAGAATTTCAAGTTCTACTTAGTGACTCCTATCTCAAGGTAGCTTCCCAGTGTGGTCAAGGAAGAGGTTTGAGCTTCAGAGCCCAGTTGCAAGGTTCTTCTCTGAGCTGAACAATGGCTGTAGCTGTGGACCAACAAATTCAGACTCCTCGAGTGCAAGAAGAACTTCGAATAGTGAAGCTGGAAGAGGATTCCCACTGGGAGCAGGAAATTTCCCTTCAAGGGAGTGACCCTGGACCAGAGACCTCCTGCTAGCGTTTTTGGCATTTCTGCTATCAAGAAACATCTGGACCCCAGGAGGCCCTCATCCAACTCCGGAAGCTCTGTCATCAGTGGCTGAGACCAGAGAAGTGTACAAAAGAACAGATCCTGGAGTTGCTCATGCTGGAACAGTTCCTGACTGTCCTTCCTCAGGAGACCCAGATCTGGGTTAGACAGAAGCATCCAGAGAGTGGGGAGGAGGCCATGGCTCTGGTGGAAGACTTGCAGAAAGAACCTGGAAGATGGGGGCTCCAGGTGAGAACCGGGCACCTTGTTCTGAGTAGTTAAAAGAGGGGAGTGGGAGAGACAGAGCGCCCTTGGTTTGCCAGCCAGATGGGTGGTGTGTAGTACTTTGCTCTTTGTGTCCTATGGCATTTGCTTATTCCCTGGGCCTGGTAGCCACAACTTCCCTTCCAAGCTCAGACTGACACTTCAGGGAATGCATAGCATTGGTTGTTCTGAGCGTTGGTCCCTGCCATTAAGTAATAGAATTGCTTAAAATGGCTTGACCACCACTCTGGTTGAGGAGGAACACCCAGAAGAACATAAAAGCTCTTTGTGTTGTTGTTGTTTTTGGAGAATAACTCTCATTCATCAGCAGCCAGCTTGAAGCAAGGGGCTTCACTGGTCTTTACTGACAATCTTGAACCTTTGCATCCTACTGAAAAATAGCTGTATTTTTGGTTGGCTGAGTTTTGCCCAGGGATTGACAGGAACAGCCCCAGGAGAGCTGGTGGGCAGATTGCAGTGAGCCTGGGTTCTAGACCTTACCTGTTAGTCTTCCACACACCCACGCTCTTAACTGCCCCTGCAGTGATTTGCATAAGGCTGATTTCCTCCTTTGCTTCTTTGCATCTTGGGATGGTTAAGTTTTATTACTACCAAATTTTGACTACTTCTAGTCCTTGAACAGGAGCAGGAGGTATACTCAGAGGAGAAGGAACCCCCAGGATCAGCACTGGGTTCCCTGAGGATCCATCTGAAGCAAGCACAGACAGGATCCATGTGTCTGTTACAGGCGATGGTGAAGAACTCACAGCCAGAACCAGAACAGTTGAATCACAGCCCCAAAGTAGAACTCCGATCCTTCCACAAGAGCGGTAAGCAGCCACAGTTTGGGGAGGAAGGAAGGACCCTTCTGTGGAGAGGGTGTGAAAGTCCCCTCTGCATGCGGAAAGTGGGATTTCTTTCCACTTGGAGGATGGGGCATGTGAAATGTGGCTGACCACATGAATCTGGGGGATCCCCAATAGGCACCGCCAAAGGGAAGAAAGGCCTTGGTTGGCATGTTTTGTAAAATTACATAGGGGAGCCTGGGGCGCCTTTCTTTATGTGAATGAGAGGTTACTGGTCCCAGTAGGTTAGGTGTGGGCACAGATTTTAGGCCTGATTGGTGGGAAAAGCATAAGGTAGGGTTAAACCAAAGTGCAGTAATTCTCAGAACAGGGACAAGTGTCCCCAGACCAATTCAGATGATGCAAGTGTGTTATCAAAACTGAAGAAGAAAATCATAAAACTGGGACAGTCAGTAACCTGGATGGATACGGAAGGGAAAAATCTGGAACTCTCCTCTTAGAAATGTGTCATTTTGGTTTTTCACCAACCTTCTTTGGAGGGCCAAAGCGGACACAAAGAGAAGGGGGAAGACTCTTCTGTTTCAGAACTAAGTTGGGCTAGTCCTCAAGAGGAGTCAAGAAACATTGTCTTCTAACAGCTCTTTTCTCTTCCCACAGTGCTGCCTGATCCTCCGGCTCTGGATCTTTCTGTGGAGGAGAGTGGTGGTGACCAGGGGATGATGAGCCCCTCCCAGGTGAGCCAGATTTTTCTCTTACTCAGGAGACCTTTTACTACTCCAGTGGGGGCCTTTTGCATCCAACTCTCTTGCTTATCAGAAATGCCAAGGCAATTTTAGCCAGCAGGGAGGTCCAGTAACTTTACAGATTAGGCTTCACAATTTCATCCACCAGAAAAATGTTGTCCAAACCTCCCTTTTGCTGTAAGGCGGCACCACAGCTGGTGGGGAGGAATTGCATTAAAGTCATTCTTTTCCTTGACCCTGAGATCATAAGATTATGTTGATTTTCTTGTTTGCCTTAAAAGGAATGGTTATTTCCTTCTTTCTGTATCAGAATCTTGCCCACATGGTATGCGGGACTGTGTGTGCGGGTGTGGGTGCCGGGTAGCGGGGCACAACAGCTTCAGAGTTAGACAGCCCTGAGTTCAAATCCCAGCTCTGCCACATACTGACTGTAGAACTTGGAGGAAGTGTGAAAAGTTCCCAGCACAGTGCATAGGTGTTCAGTAAATGTTAGCTTCTTTCTTGCCTTGCTTCCTCTCCCTCTCTTCCCTTCCCCTGCCCCCTATTGCATTTTTTTGAAGATTTATTTATTTATTTTGAGAGAGAGCGTGAGCAAGTGGGGAGAGGAGCAGAGGGAGAGGGAGAGAGAGAATCCCAAGCAGACTCCCCGCTGAGCTCAGAGCCTGAGTGGGGCTCAATCTCATGGCCCCAAGATCATGACCTGAGCTGAAATCTAGAGTCGGATGCTTAACTGACTGAGCCACCCAGGCACCCCGGCCCACACTGCATTTAAAAGTCAAAGAAATCTCACGTTTCAGTTTCTTCTGAGTCTTTTTTGTCACCGGGCCTCTGATGAAGGCAGCATATTTTGAATAGGGTGTTATGTTTCCTCAGGAGTTGATGACATTCGGTGATGTGGCTATGTATATCTCCCAGGAGGCATGGAGGCAGCCAGAACCTGGGTGGAGGAACCACCTGGAAAGAAGTTGGGAGAAATCCGCAAATGGGGCCTCGATGGGTAAGACTGCTGTTTTCCCGTCCAGTAGAAGTTGGCTGTGGAGTTTCCGGAGTAGTCACTACTCCAGATCTTTTTGGGTCAAATTTTTCAAGTCCCTCAATCCTGCTTGAACAGAGACTGATGAATCTAATACCAAAGTCAGTGCTATCAAGGATGAGTTTCTAGAGCCCAGAGAGGATACTGTATTAAAGCTTGTCTTAGGAAGATGGTCAGTAAAGCCTCTGGTGGGAACCTGAATTTTATTTGTTACAGGACAGATGAACGTGTACAGATAGTTCTAGATTTGGGCCTGGACTTTTTCCCTCACAGTCCTTAATATTACTTTCACTGAGGATTCCCAAGAATCCCCTTAGACTTTAAATAAAAATTAATCGTATCTCCCCTCCCTGGTGTATAAAGTGGTTGGGATTAGATGTAGCTAACCATTGTGTCTTCTCTGTCTCCCTGCAAATAGACTTGCCCACCCACTGACCCAGTGTCAGCTCCTGCAGGGAGCAGGAGGAAACCCCACAGAGCCCAGATCTTCAGCGCTCCAGAGAGGAGGAAAGCGCCAGGGACTCCGCAGCGGGTGGGGGAAGAGTCCAGCCTGGCCCCTTGCCCATCCCAAGAAAAGCCAAGACCTGGGAGGAGCCGGAGTGGCAGGGCCTGGAGGATGGGAAGGTGGCAGGTGTGCTCCGGGACTATGAGGAAACCAAGATTTTTTTGGGAATTCTCAGTGAGTCCTGGATCCGTGAGAAATTGCGCACCTGCCACCGGGACCGCCAGGTGTACCGGCTGGTGGCCAAGCGGCTACGCGAGCGCGGCTTCCCGCGGACCCTGGAACAGTGTCGCTACCGCTTCAAAAACCTCCAGACCCACTACCGCAAAGCCAGGAGCAGCCGGGCGCCGGGCACCTGCCCCTTCTACCAGGAGATGGACGCCCTGATGAGCCCCTGGACCCTGGCCGGCACCTTTGACGCCTTAGAGGTGGCAGGAGGCCTTCTGCGGGACAGAGGGGACTCCGAAGAGAACCAGAGGCCGGCTGGCAGCCGTGACAGGAGATGGTAGTGAACTGGCGGCCGAGCCCCAAGGGGAGCCCGGGAGCCTTGCCCCCCCCGGCTTTCAGGGGGAGTCCCAGTGGTAAGCGCCCCTCCCCCGGTGCCCCCCAGAGCAGTGGGAGAGGGCAAGTGTCGCAGGAAAGCATTAGGGACTGTGAAGCAGGAGAGACGCTTATTGTCTGTCCCTCTGGCGTGGCCTCGTCTGGAGGAAGATTGTTGATTCCTTTACCGAACACAGATAGCGCTAGAATCAGCCCTCCGCTGAAGCCGTCCCACGGGCTCACTCACAAAGGGTCTTGCCCTGCTCTACAGCAAAGGGCTCTCCCTGTCTGCTCTCAGTAATGGCATTATAGAAACAATATTTAGTGACAGTTGTAGGAGGAAAGAGAGGTTGGAGTGACCTACAGTTCCAGTTGTTCATTTCCAGCTAAAGTACCCCATCCGTGTGAACTTTGCGCAGATTATAGACAGCAACCTGACGGCTTAAGACTTGTCTGCTCTTGGGCAAACTGGTTACACACCCGAAGCCTCCGTCTTCTCATCCGTAAGATGGACATAGTGACAGTATTTGCCTCACTGGGCGGTTTTGAGGATCCTGGCCCATGGCTAGCACTCAGGAAATGCTTGTTTTCATTATCGTGAGCGTTGCAATTATTGTCAACATAGAGGAACACCTTGCCCTGTACTCTTCACTTAAGGGGGCATATTTCCTGAGTCATTAACTACACATTTTCTTCTGACAACTAGACTTTCTGGGAGGTGCTTCTGTGCTCATCTCAGCTACCACTTCCAGATAGGAGAACAGAAAGCAGACTATGTAGGAACTCCATGTCCCTTCTGGGTTTTCCTTGAGCAGGATTTCTGGTTCCCCAGCCAGATGGGGTCTCGAGGCTGGAGAGAAGTGAAGAGCTTTGGAATGACGATCTCTGGGACTTTTGGGAAACTTCCTGTTCAGGTGGGAAATGAGTGAAAGCTAGCATGGCACCAACCGAGAAGTCAGACCGGAATTCTGAATGCGGACAAGGCAGCACCAGGCTGGGAGAGCACCCACTCCCTGGGCCTTCCCGGTTTTACTCTGAGGTGCTGAAACCACAGGCGGTGGGAGAAGAACAGAAAAGGAGGTGGCACCAGGAAAGCCTGCTCCCCTTCGTTACCTTGGCTCATAGATGTAAACAGATTATTAGTGTTTATGATTTCCCTCTTAAATTTTTTTTTTTTAAAGATTTTATTTATTTGAGAGAGAGAGAATGAGAGAGAGCGAGCACATGAGAGGGGGGAGGGTCAGAGGGAGAAGCAGGCTCCCTGCCGAGCAGGGAGCCCGATGCAGGACTCGATCCAGGGACTCCAGGATCATGACCTGAGCCGAAGGCAGTCGCTTAACCAACTGAGCCACCCAGGCGCCCAAATTTCTTTTTTAAAAATGCCCCCTTTATTTATTTTTTCAAGTATACTCTGCCTGCAGTGTGGGGCTCGAACTCATGACCCTAAGATCAAGAGTTACACACTCTACTGACCGAGCCAGCCTGGCGCCCCTCCCACTTAAATTTATATCTGACTTTTAACTATAATTAACTGTCGTTTAAGTAGGTTAATAGAAAAAGTGAGCCTTGGCAACCCCAAATTAAACAATAGTCAACCTTAGATTATTGGAGGGGTGAATTTCTCATGGTTAAGATGAGCTTCTCTCCTTGGTGGGGCTTGGTCATTCTGCTGGAATTTTAGGGGATCCAATAAACAGTACTGTTCTTCCCCCAGATTCTAGGCCAACCAAGAACCGTAAGAGTAAGATGTTGAGATCAAAATCTCAGCTTTCTAACTGCTAGAGCCGTTGGACAATGTGGCTTGATGTGTGGCCACAGTGGGCTTCCTCACACGGAACCCCACATTGAGCCGCGGGCAGCCCCAGACGACCACAGCCTTGTCCTGCCAGCACAGAATCGTCACTGCTGGTCTTCTGAGCCACGTGTGCTCAGCTCCTTGTTAGTTGAAGAAGTCCTTCCTCCTGCTTGAGGAGCGAGGGGACGGAGAGAGGCCAGAAGTGTTCTCAGGCTTGTCCCTCTACCTAGAAGGCAGTATCAAGAAGAGAAAGGTAGCTTTTTAGTACTGATTGCCAGCCCACAGGTGGATGGGAGGAGAGGAGGAGCCAAGCTCGGGGGCAGAGCCTTTGAGGAGTGGGGAGAGGAAGAAATGGGTCTGGACCTTGCCCACCTCCCTTTCTTCAGCCTTTCTCCACATGATCTTTTTGTTTAGAAGCTGGGGAGGGAGGGAGACCTGGAAGTCGGCTGTCTTAACCAGGGTTCAGCCATAGTCCAGTTTCTTGGTTGCTGGTTAATGGAAAGCTGACTGTGTTCTATCTGTTGCCATCAAGAAATTGTTTCTCAGCGTCCAGGAGGGGCCTCTTTCACGTTGTTTGCATTCTTCTGAGCTCAGAAAGCAGGTCACATTTGTGGTTTCATCTCATTCTTTCAGATCTTGAAACAAGGACACAGGACAAGAATTCAAGCCAGGACATGTCAGAGGAAGCAGAGCTCCAGGGGCGCTATTAGAGAGACCCAAAGCGGATCCTTCCCTGGCCAGGACAGACTGGGAAGACAAACATGGGGCGGAGAGGCAGTGGGAAGTACCCTTAGAAGATGGACAAGAGGCACGCTCCCCTCCAGAAGGAGACGTAGGTAAATTCATAGGCCCTCAGGGAACCTACATAGGAGGAAAGTCCTATCTCTGCTGTGCGTGTGGAAAACAACATGGCAACCAGGGCTCACGCTTTGCTGTGCACAGATTAGCCCACACTGGGGAAAAGACACCTTCTAAGTGTGGCCGTTGTGGGAGAAGCTTTGGCCGAAGTTCACATCTGGTTTGCCACCAGAGAATCCCCACCGAGGAGAAGCCCTACAAATGCCCTGAATATGGGAAGGGCTTCAGTGATCCTTCTAACCTCACATCACATCAAGAGAGTCCACGCTGGAGAGAAGCCCTATAAATGTGGGGAGTGCTGGAAAAGCTTCAGCCAGAGCTCCAGCCTTACTATGCACCAGAGAGTCCACACAGGGGAGAAACCCCATAAGTGCAGCGAGTGTAGGAAGAGGTTCACCAATAGCTTGTGCTTCAGTGCACACCGGCAAACACACGCAGGCGAAAAACCCTACCAGTGCCCCGAGTGCAGGAAAAGGTTCAGCAAGAGTTCCATGCTCACCAGCCATCGGAGGATCCACACAGGAGAGAAACCCTATCCATGTCTCGAGTGCGGGAAAAGTTTCAGCGACCGCTCAAACCTCATTACCCACCGGCGAATTCACAGTGGAGAGAGACCCTATGAATGCGGGGAGTGTGGGAAAAGCTTCAGTCAGAGCTCCAGTCTCATCATCCACTGGAGAATCCACACTGGAGAGAAACCCTACGAGTGTGCTGAATGTGGGAGGCGATTCAACAACAGCTCACATTTTAGTGCGCATTGGAGGACCCATGTGACAGAGGCTCGAAGTGTAGTAGGAATGTCTTTAAAGCACCAAGTCTAAGAACACCGCAGAATCCGTTCCAAAAACGGTTTGTACGGTCCTTGATTCTATACCATGACACCCACATGAGATGGAGAGAAAGAATTTAGACCCAGTCCAATAGATGTTATTTTTGTTTCTCTCTCTAAACACTCACTTGGCTAATGAAATACTCCTCAGGGCTTTTTTCTCCACGCTGTTGAAATGGGAGCTCCTGTGGAGAGAATTCAGAGACTAGTTCTGAATTTGACTGGATCTCCATCACAGTACGTCTCCATGATGATCCTGTGCCTTAATTTCCACAGCTCGGTATGCTGAGGGGGACAGTCCCGTCCCCAAGACCCTCCTCTGGGGACAGAAGTTTCCGCCTCGTGGCACTGGGCAACTAGACAGGGATTTATGAATTACATACAGTTTTAAAGGTCTTCCATGGTCCTCCCTATGGGAGGATTGGGGCCTGGGAATTGCGGACATTTCTCCACGTTCCTTAAGATTTACATGGAGTTACTGGAGAGAAAAGCACTCGATCGTGTCATTTGGAGGAGGGAAAAGGAGAAAAGACCAACGCTGGAGGCTGGCTTTCTAAACCATAACCTACTCTTCCTCTCAACATACTAGGTTGAACCATATGAGATAGCCATTTTGAGCTCCCAAACCAGCAATTTCATGATTCAACCTAAACAGACTTTCTGCAGAACAGAATTACCCCAGATTGCCAGCAGAGCTGCTTATACAGCTTTACAGCTCCCACTGTGTCCTAAAATATAAGCCTGGGCCTAGGAGATTACAAACAGGATAACGTAAGCCTTGTCTCTAATCTGTAAATATGTCCAGAGCAATAACTACGAACCACGGCATCGATCAAGGCTCCCAGTTGGAGGATCTGCCTGTCACAGGCCTCTGACGAGCCCCCTCGTTCCTACGGGGGAGGCCATGTGCAGGTTCACAGGTTTTTGAAGATTTGGGGTGTCTCTGCGAGAGCAGAGCATAGTTCCTGGGGGCACTCTGACACAGCAAATGGTGCTTGGAAATAAG